AAAAAATAATGCTGCTGTGAACATTTGTGTACAAGCTTTCACATGGACATATGTTTTCAATTCTCTTTAATACATACATATGATCTACACTTACTAAGAGATAAATTATCTCTTAAGAAATAATTTCAGTCTTATTAGGGCCTAGGGTATACAGTCCCTAGTTGGTGTGACTTTTTAAGAAGTCCTTTAAAGTCATCATTTTTCTGTCTTTCATTGTTAATATTCATACTATTACAACTAATTGCCATTAGTGTAATTTCTTCTAATTATAGAAGTTGTAAACAACATTTTTTTCTGTCTCGTACTTTAAAGATCTTCTTGTCTTTGATATTCTTCCTTTTGATTATGGTGTATCTGTGCATGGACTTATTTTCATTTACTCTGTTTGGGAGTCACTGGAATTCTTGCATCTGAAGATTCATTTTTTTTTAGTAATCATAGAAAATTCTCAGCTACTCGCTCTCTGAATATTACCCCTCTCCCATTATTCCTATAATTGATTTCCAAAAATCTGATTATACATATATTAGAAATTTTCATCCTATCCTCCATGTCTCTTCTTCATATTTTCATTTTTCTTCCTGTGCTGCATTATGCATAATTCTTTCAGCTCTATCCTCCAGTTGACTAATTCCCTCTCCAGCTGTGTCTATTCTATTTAACAGTTCCACTGAGTTTTTGATTTCATGTGTGATATATTTAAATTCCTAGAACCTCTGTTTGGTTCTTTTTCAAATCTGCCTGGTCATGTTTATGATCCCTTGCTTCTTCCTTGTCTTTCTTGTGCCATAGGAGCTCAAAGTATAAGTCCCCAAGGTATACAGCAGTTTCAGCAATCTTTACTTCCCCAGACAGATTTTTCCAATTTGTTCCTGGCCTTTTGTAACTCCCTTATTTTCTTATAGGCTCTTCCATTAACAGAAGAGAATTCCAAAAATGTTCTTCCTAGCATCCCTAGATGTTTTGTAGCTTAAATATTTGTACACCTTTCATCATCATATAGATTTTAAATCCCTTTGTTCCTTTTCCAACATCCATGCTTTCAAAGACTAACGATTAAGCACCTGCTGCGGATTCAAGGGAGAACAAGACAGAGCCTGTCCCTGCTCTCAGGGTTGACTCTGAAGTGTATGGAGAAAACAGACACTTAATCAGGTGACTGCATCCCACAGATAATCAGTGCTCTGATGGGGTAGGTATTAGTAAAAAAGGCCATGCAGAGATACATGGAGGCCAGGAACACTCTAATAATCACATTGATTCTCTTTAAGTAAATATTCAACATTTATTTAAGGGAGAAGAATACCTTACAAAGCAAAATTGAAGCTCTTTTTCTAAATTAGAAAGCATTAGGGAAGCTGTCTGTTATTATTCAAGCACATGTTGTTACTGGAACATAGGTCTTTTGGGGAGAAGATCCAGCCCCCATCCCAACCCCAAGCTATTTAGAAAATCCATTATCTCAACCACATACAGTGTCTCCTGGAGGGATATTCTGGTAAATTACATTCCGACTGATGTTTATTTGCTTCCCTAGCCATACCTTAACTCTCATGTTCTGAGTAACTACTTCTGCATAAAAAATCACTTTAAAACAGTGGCTTAAAAGCCTAACTTTATGTTATGGGTTGCATTATATCCTCCCAAAAGATATGTTGAAGTGCTAACCTTTAGTACTTCCGAATGTTATCTTATTTGAGAAACAGGGTCACTGCAGATGTAATTAGTTAAGATGAGGTAATACTGAACTACAGGGGCCTCTCACCATATGTGAAAGTGTCCTTGATAAGAAGAGGGAAACTGGGACACAGAGACACTGGGAGACTATGTGAGGATGAAGGCAGGGGTTGGAGTGATGCAGCTACAAGCCAAGGAAAGCTGAGCATTGTCTCCAACCACAAGAAGCTAGAAGAAATGCAGGGAGCAGCTTCTCCCTCAGAGCCCCCAGAAGGAACAAGCCAACACCTTGATTTTGGACTCTAGTCTCCAGAACCCAGAGAATAAATTTCTGTTGCTTTACCCAGTTGGTGGTCATTTGTTACCTAGACAGTCCAGGGAAACTCTATATGATCATTTATTCTGTGCATGAATCTGAAGGTTGCTGGACTGCAGGCAGCTCTCACTCTGGGTCTATCATACAGCGCAGGCAGGTGTTTGTGGCTGGGACTGGGGTCATCTCAAAGGCTTCCTCACACACACATCTGACATCTGGGCAAACAGCTGAGGCTGGGGCCCATCCAGCATCTCTCACTCCATGTGGTCTCTGTACATGGCACCCTCTGCAGAGATGGACTTCTTACAGGGCAGCTAACAGCTCCCAGAGCAAGTTCCCAAGAGAGAATCTGGGAGGAGCCATGTAGCCTTTTCTAACAAGCCTCAGCAATTAGAAAACATTGCTTCCATTACATTCTGTTCAAGGAGACTCGCCCAGGTTCAGGGCAACAGGATGTAGACCCCATCTACTGGTGAGAGGAGTACCTAGGGGTTCGTGGACACATGTTAAAACCACCACACTGTCTCAGTCAGGGGCACATCTGACCTGGGGGAGACAGCACTGTCTGCCCCTCTGAACCCCAAGGCATAAGGAGTTAGCTAGGTGGGGAGGCCAAGAGCCAGGGAGAGGAGCCACCCCTCTCCTGCCCAGCCCTGAGCCTCCCAGCTGATGCTGGAGCACCACCCCTTCACCCTCACTCACAGTCTCCAAGCCTGGTGGAGCCCCAGCTCATGCATTCAGCTGAGGCTCTGCACCAGGCCCTGGACATACAGACCTTGCCCAGAAAGCACCCAAGCCAAAGTCACCCCCAGGCTCCTCTCTGCCCGCAACCCACAAGTGCTTTGTGTTCCCGACAGAGAGCCTTCTTTTCCTCCTTAGGCTGGGGCCGTTTCTGACCCTGCCTTCCCCTCTAATCTGGGGCCAACAGGAGGCCCCTCAAGAGGGCTCCCCACACAGACATCAGCCCCCGAGGTTTGGGGGTTGTCTCAGGGTCTGGATCTGTTACTCTCCCCTCGGTAACCTCAGCGGTGGCTCCCCAATTCCCTGCCTTTTGATGAGTCTTTAAAAATCTTCCCCATCCTACCCTCTTGGTAAGGAGACAAATGCATTTCTGGTATTGCTGTTAGTCAGGAAAGCCACTTTTCTATCCAGTTTTCTGATCACTTGGAAGTACCTAGTCTGGGACACAAACACACACACAAGTGCTGCTCCCCTTCCTCCGAGAGGGCTCTGATCTCCAGAAGAGGTGGAACAAAGGTTCACCTGAGGTCACATCACCCTCCCCTCCAGTCCTACCTCCACCCTCAGAGCAGCAACCATAACATCAGACCAGTACGCATGGGGCAGGAGTGCCTGCTGGCCGAGCATCTGCTCCAGGTTAGTGTGGAGCCACCTGCTCTTGCCCACCTCCCCGAGAGGGAGGGGTTCTAGTCTACTCCATCATGTGGTGAAGAGGCTGAATCTGGGGGAAGGGGAAATGAGCTAGTCTGTGCCTGAGCTGAGGTTCACTGTCAGCCTATCTCAACAATTATCTCTAAAACCTGGATCCTTCTCTTCTTCCTCCCTCTCACCCTCCTCCTTGACTTCTGCCTCTCTCACCCTCTCCTTCCATCCCTGTCTGTCTGTCAACTTCTGTGTCTGAGCTCTTTCTCTCTTTCACTATAACTGCCACCCCAAGGGTCTAGGGCTGTCTAGAGATCAGAATCATCTCCAAAATGGGTTCACCTTTCCTTCATCCTTGGTACCAGAATCTGGCCACATTCATTCAGAAAACTCCATGAAGGAAAGGACAGTGGCTACCTGCTGCCTCCTTCTCCCCACCCGACAAGGGACCTTTCCTGGGTCTCTAGGCTGAGACCTAGGGTGGGATGGATAAGGAGCGAATAACCAAAGACCAGAATGGCAAGGGACAGGGATTATTCCCAGTGGTCAGACTACACTAGGACACATGCAGTGGAGACAGGAATTAAATCCACAACAATAATCAAAATTCCTCCCACCTGAAAGCTCCAGCCCCAAAGGGTGCTGCAACTTGCCAGCTGTGTGACTTTAGCCATATCACTTAACCTCACTGAGCCAAAAATAATAGTCCCTACTTTAAGAGATTGTTATTATGATTCAAGGAGATAAAGGCTGTGGATTTGTTTGGAATGCTTTGGGCTGCCAATAACAGAAAAGTCAAGCAGGACTTGCTTGAGCAATAAAGACAATTATTTCACACACTGAGATTCTAGAAGTAGCTTTCAGATTTTGGCAATGATTCAGAAATGCCACTGAAAACCAGTTTCTATATTTCCGCTTCATCATCCTTAGTTTCTTTACATCTCATGCTGTTTCCTCATGATTGAAAGATAGCTGCTGCAGCTCCAGATATCACATACCATATCCAAAAAGGAAAGGGAATATTAATAGTAAGCATCCCTTCAGGTGATGGATTCAGGTGATCCAAGGATCCCACCTTGAGAGATTCTGCCCTGCAGCATGATCACCTAATATGAAACTCATTCTCATCTCAGACACTTCAGCGTTTTGAAAAAGCCTTCAGAGAAAAGTCCCCAGAGCTCTAGGATTCATGCACACGTGGAGCTGGGTAGGGGAGGGGAAGGCTTCCTGGCACCTCAGATCTTACCACACACCTTCAGAGCCGGAAGGGACCTGAGAGAGGCTCTCCCTGCCCCAGCCCCACAGGGTGGAGAAGTGATTTCCTCACCAACACACAGCAGAGCCAGAGCCAGGGATTCCTGGCTCTGAGCCTCTCTTAGTGCCCTGGAAGAAGGGCTCAGACCAGGAAACGCAGCGATCTCAGGAGGGCTCCCCAGAAGCAGAGCCTGAATCTGGGATACCAATTCAGAGGATTTCCAGGGGGAGGCTCTCAGAAGAGGAGTGAGGGAAACAGGAAAGGGCAGGGCTAAAAGCCAAGCGAGAAAGTGGTCTCAGCTGGGGTGGAGCCACAGCGTGGTCCCACGAGGGTTCTAGAGCCCAAATAGCACCACAGAGTTCGTCCTACCTTGAGGCTTGAGGTGGCCTTTTGCAATACATCAGCCAGTCATGGGCTGCCATCTGCCCAGGTGGTGCGGTGCGGTGCGGGGCAACTTCCTGGGGGACAGCTCTCGCCTGGCTGAGGGCTCGTCTGCAGTGAAAGGGCAGCTGGAAGCCATCAGAAGCAACCCTCCTGCAGCTGGGGAACCGGGAAACCAGAAGGTTATAAGGGAAACGAGGAAGTCTCCCTCCCAGAGCCCCAAGCCATCCTCAGCATTCCCAGCCACAGAACACAGTGCACCAGAGCCCATCCCTGCCACAACCTCAGTTTCCTTGTTCATAAAATGGGTATGCAGGACTAAGGGGTCACTGGGTTCCTTTCCAGCTCTGCATGTTCAAGCTTCTGTGATTCCACTTCCATCTCACCCCAGGCAGACTCCTGTCCCCAGACTCCCCACTTGCCCAAGTAGTTGAAGAATCACTGAGATCAAAGTAGGGTCTCCACTCAATCAGGCCTGAACCCCACGAGGCGGGTAAAGGCAACAGTTTCTTGGCGTGTATATGTCTCCAGCCTGCAAAGCGGGCCTAGGGAGTCAGTATTTCTTTAAACGCAAGTACCAAGACCACACTGGGGTGTCAGTAAATTCATTATCCCATTACGCAGACCTGAATTATTCAGCGCTCTTGAGGCCGCCTCAGGAACATGCCCAAGCACAGTCGATGCCAGCATTAAGGGGATGGATGGAGTCAGGCCTGGGGCATGGTTGATGCCGGGGTGATGGATCTGGGCCCAGAGAGGCTGCCAGGGCTTGCAGGCACAAGGCTGCCGGCTGGCAGGCCCTGGGCCCTGGGAAGGCAGTTATGCACATATCCACAGTCCTCCTCACCCCCCAGGAAATTGGCAGAATTTGTCTTTGAAGCCTCACCTGCTCCAAAGGGTCCAGGGACAGGGGATCCAGACTCCCCTTCTTCCTGGCTGTGTGACTTCCAGCAGGTCATTCACTTCTCTGAGTTTCAGTTTCTTTATCTGCAAAACACAGTGATGATACTAACTGTTTCCATTATCCATTCTTCCTTTTAAGTTTAATGACAGAACTGATTTTTCACTGAGCATACAACCCTCTAGAGTAAATACTATTTCTAGGCTGAAATGTGGCCATGTGACCAAGCGCTGATCAAAGGAATACAAGTAGAGAGAGTATCCTATGAAACTTTCAGGAAGGGTCCTTAAAGGAAGGAGGTGAGTTCTATTTTGTTCCTTCCTTTTTCCTGAAAACTTGGTTGAAGGTATGATAGCTGGTGCTCAAGCAGTCATTTTGTTCAATGAGGAGACACCACATGATGAGGATGGCAACACAGCAGGGGAGAAGCCTGAGTCTCTGTTGACCCTGGAGCCTCCTTACCATCTCCAAGTTACCCCTATAAAAAATAGAAATCAACTTCTCTTGATTAACTCACCGTTCTTTTGAGGTTTTTCTGTCTCCCACAACCAAACCCAACCCTACTCTGTTGGACAAGTCCAAGGCTAAAATGAGACATTACAGGAAAAGTAGACACCTCAGTAGGTATTTCCTCTAGGATACTCCAGGGGTTAAGAACTCTAAGCTCTGAAATCAGAGAACCTGGATTCAAATCCCAACTCTACCACTTACAAGCTGTGCAAATTTGGGAAAGTTGCTTAACCTCTCTGTGCTTCAGCTTTCTCTTCTGTAAGATGGGGGTAAAAATGATACCTTGCCCCTCACAGGGTTTATGTGAGGACTGAGTGAATATGAAGTTAGAAGGAGTGACTGGCACATGGTAATTGCTGTATAAGTACCAGAAGTTAGCATCTCATTTCTATACGTCTAGGGGGATTCCCTATGTAACTCAGGGGCCTGGGCTCCCATAACATCTCCCAAAGCTTCATCTCAGTCTGGATTTTCCCCTTGAGGTGGCTGTGCTCTCAAGGCTTTCTAAGCTTTAGCTATGACATGAACAGTTTTGCCTCAGGGGAGAGGAACCCCCATCTGAGCCAATAGGGCTTGGTGGCAGAGCATGGGCTCCTGCCTCTTTGGAATCCAAATGAAGTTCTTACTCAGGAAGAGAGAATGAGAAACAAAAGCCCATGACTGGCTGTGTCAAGTATCTCTCCTCTCTGGGCCTCTGGGTAATGGATTAAATCAGAGGTTACAGCTCATGTGCCAGCAGCACAAAGGCCAATATGGAATATTAGGGTACCTCTTCAGGAGGAGGGAGCAGGGAGTGGTGGGGACTGGGCAAGGGCACACGACCCGTGGGGGATAGGGGTGGGCACCACCCAGCACCAGTCAACCTGCCATTCAGCAAGATGGGCCCAGTGTTGTCAAATCTTCTGCTCTTTCAAAAGAAATGGAAACCAAATCTGAATTCTTTGTGAAATTTCCTTATTAGTGTTGGCTCCATTCAAATAAGCAAAATACTGATCAAGGCCAACAAAATACGTCCCCAGGCCAGCCAGAAGTGAACAAGCACGAGGGCTCTCCCAGGCAATGCAGCTGGAACCCTTGCGTCCCAGGCTGTGTCCTCCATAGTGTCCCACACATAGTGTGTGGAGGAAAGAAAAGGGCCCCAGGGACTCGTCCTTCCAGGGAGGCAGGTGCTCCGGGCTGGAGCCAAGGAAGGTGAGCCTGACCCCTCGGCCCCCTCCCTGCCTGAGTTCAGCGAGGGTGGGCAGAGGCGGGACTGCCCTGAGACCTCAGGCAACACTCTGACTTCCACAGCTCCAGGTTCCTTCTCTGAGAAACAGACTGGGGATCTGCAGGTCAGGTACAAGTCAGTGACCCTGGTCCACCAGCCCCTGCTGAGGCCCTGCCCTGTGGAGGGGTCTCTGCACCCATGGCTCTGGGGACACCAGAGGCCCTTGGTGTGTAGACTGGAGTGCTGGCCCTGACTCTTTTCTCCTGGACCAGTGATATGGCTACACGTCCACATCCTTTGCCATGTGACCACACCCTTTGCCACGTGACCTCACAGAGCCACCCTGTGGAGGGGCTGGAGTACACACACTTGCCCCCACACAGAGTTTGGCCAAGTGACTCGTTGGGGCCGCTGGAACACCAGCAGACCTGACTGAGGCAGAGGCTTTAAAAGCACGTGTGTGATTGGCCTCTTGCACCCATGTTGGCCCCTGGGAAAGAGCATCTCCAGGTGGCTGCTGGTCTCAGAATGATCTGGACCCACGACCTGAAGCAGAAGCACCCCAGCTGACCCAAGAGCAAGAAAAGTAAGTGGTTATTTTGGAAGCCACTAAGACTCGGGGCTGTTACATGTCATGGTTGCAGCAGAAGCCTGACTGCTAGGCTGGGAGCTTGTGGGCGTCTCCAACCCCCTCTGTTCATCCACTGTCCCAGAAGCCTTTGCACCCCTGGCCCTGATGCAAACAGAGAGACTCCCCCTGGAGTGGGGAGACTCCAGACTTTGGGCCATACAGAGCTGGAGCCAATCCCCACATGTCCCTGGCTGTGAGAGCCCAGATGAGTCACACCCCTGTCTGTCAAGTGTGGGTGATCATGCCTTATCACTGGGGACTGGGGAGCCTGATGAGACACCACAAGTCTGCAAGCAGGGTTGGCGTGGGGTGCCTGCTACTGGTATTTGGACTTGTTGGGTGGGGGAGGTGTGGGGCATCTCCTGTGAGAAAACTTACCCCTCAGAAAAATAAGGCCTTACCTTTGGAACGCATGATTTCGAGTTCAGTGTGGAATCTGTCACTCTAGCCTGAAAAAAAATCAAACAGGGTTATCTCAGCACCAACTCTCAACCACCGCATGGGCTCAGGGCACACTGCTGGGGTGCCTGTATCCCTTAGGAATGCTTTGAGCATCAAGTAAAAGAATGCACAGCTAATCACTGCTTAAACACAAAGGGCTCCATTTTCTCACGTAACAAGGAGGCTGGAGGGAAACAGTTGCTGCTAATGATTCAATGCCTAGATAATGTCTTCAAGGACCACTTACCATAGTCACTGTGGTTTTTCAGTCCTTAACTTTGTTGCCTCATGGCCACAAGATGGCTGCTACAGTTTGAAGCATTTCATCTTTACACACCCTACTCAAGATAAAAAAAGGCTCTACCAGAAGAGGAGTTTTCTTATTATCAGGAAAGAAAACATCCTGAAAAGGACCCCCAATTTCCCTGGCAAGA